AATGTAGGTGGATCATTACAATTATTTTTATTTTATGAAACATAAAAGATCACATTGATATGTGTATGAAGATGAATATCGTATGTGGAACATCACATAGACTTTGTACTTCTCTATTCCTTAGTCTTCTCTTTTTAGTCCACCACCCTGTGCTTTTTTTTTTTTTTTTTTTTTTTTTTTTCTCACTTCTCTATTTTTTTTAGTTCTCTCTGGCTCTTCCTTCTTTCCTCTTTCTAAAACCCCTTTTCCATTTTATTATTTACTTTCTTTCTCAGTCATTTCATTCTTCCTCCAACCTTACTTCTCTGAATCATCCTTAATCTGGTGCCTGTTTTACTCCCCACTCCCACCCCCCACACACACTTATTATCATTCTAGTCTTTAATCTGCCCCTCACTTCCCATCTGTTCATTATCTCCAGGTTGTCCATCTCATCCCGTTACAGACAGACCATGTTGCTTCTTGCTGCCCACATAAGAAACAAGGAATCTTTTAGCTGGCCTGCTTTTCTTCATCTTCTCACACCACATCCCACTTTGTAGTGGATGTTAATAACAACTTTAAAATATTGTTACCAAAAATAAAAAAAAATACAGTCCTGGATCTGTGAAAAAGAAGACAACAGGGCCACTTAACTTTTGTGTGAGGTGCCAAAGATACAATCTTGCTTTTGTTGACTATTTCATCTTGCTGCTGTTGCTGACACTCCAAAGAATTGATATATTTCAACAGTCTTTATGTTCTATCTTCTAAATGTACACACTCATAGGAGCTATTGAGAACAGAGGAAGCAATAAATACAGTCTGGAGAAGAGATCCCAGTCTACTGACTAAGGAACTGAGAAATGCTTTGTGTAAAAGAGAAAGAACACAGAGATAATGTTTTATAAATCTTTTTTTATTTTAGAGGAGGTTTTGGGTTTTAGACCCTGATAAGGAATGTCAACATTTGTGGAGTCTCCAGTAGGCTTTGGGATCACTTCCTGGAGTGTGACTGAGTGGAAATGACTCTTAGGCATAACAAAATTTTCTATCTAAGCAAGATTATGGCACAAATGACCAGAAGAAACAGCTCTTCCATTTTCGTGGTTTCTTTGCCTCTGGAAGGAAATTAGGGGATAAGAATTCAATACTAGAGATCCAGGCACATTTGGAAGTCCTGAACTTTTTAAACAAATCACTGAAACAATTTGAAACAATCAGGATTTGAATAATGTTAAATCAGTAATTTTAAATCAAGTTTGGAAAAGTTATTTTCCTAGTTTTTTTCTGTTCAGGGAGCAAGAGGCACAGCACAGCTACCAAAAGGTTTTCTGCGGAAGCTGAGTTAGAAGCAGTCCTTGCAGTTGATATATGTGGGCTTAGTCACTAAGAGCAAAGTAGACTTTCTCATAAGGGTAGATTATGATATTGTTTCTTGCAGTACCATCTTACTGTAGATTTCTATTTTGCATTATGAAGATTTCCCTGACTCTAATGATTTGATTTACAAGGAAAGCACAAAATACATGGAAGCCGGTGTGCCGGGTTGTTGAAAAGAATACGTGTGGCTCTTTGCTAACAAACAGTTTCTAAAAGAGCTACTATCTGAACAACATAAAGCACATGGAACTTCTTGGTAACTAGTTTGGCCCCCACATTCATGGTTTGTTTTTCATCTTTATTGAGGATGAAGATGATATTACAGTGTTACATCAGATGTTAGATACTTGATGTTTTTATGTGGTACTTACTTGCAACCTATAATCACTTGCAAGTCTATAACCGAATAGCCATAGAACAATATGAAGAAAAAGGTATTTAAAAAAACCCAACAACCCATGCTTGTTATTTTAACATGGAAGTTTTTCATTTCTTTTGATGTAAATTCTTTCATTTCTGATAAGACAAAAATCAAACTTTGTTTTTAATACTCTTCCCCTTTCTTCTAGCAGAATTAAGTAGAATTTTATTCCATAACTTCCAAATGAGAAACATTTTGTTGGTATTTTAACAATTTTTTTCAATTTTTGTCCTTATGCATTCTGATAAAAATTAACTTTTAAGTAACCATTGTCCTAGAGAAGTAGCATTTATGGCCAACAGTGAACTTTTTTTTTTGTTGTTTTCATCAGACTCTACTATGGAGATGATCAGTTAAGTTGCTGAGTTCACATCTCCATGATATTTTATACTTGGTAATTGCTTTCAAAAATGTTTGTTAAAAGATTGATCTTTATGATGCATGTCAACAGATACTGAGCTGAAGAATTTGCTCTCTGAAGTGTGTAGGTTTGTAATGTGCAGGAAGTATCAGGCAGTGATGCAGGTAATTGTCACCTGATGTGACAACATGATGGTACCCTAAGCCACAGTGCCTAAACTTTAGTTGGATGTATATGAGCCTTGAGATCCTGTGACAAAAATGAAATTAACTCCTGTCACTTCAGTAAGGAACTAGCAGGGAGATATTAAAAACCCCCCATAAATATTAGAAGTCCCTGAAAGCTAATGAACCAGTTTCCTTTAGCTGAAATGACAGAATGTCTGCCAAGAAATCCAAGGACCCAGTCTATGTTTCTCTCTCTAAAGCAATTAGTCAATCAGTACCTTCACAGATCTGTGAAACAATCTGTCCTATTATTTCATATGTCTGCACAAGAATTACTTTAAAGTGGTAAGGTTACTGCAGTGAAGCCTGGCAAAGACTTTTACAATAGGGTTGTATGCTGTTAGAGTCACCAGCAGCATGCTAAGAAATGTCAACTGTAATTAAAACCAATCATTTTCAAATATATGCCATACTTTGGAAATGATGAGGAATGCTTTTTACAGTAAGATTTCTCAGCTCTGTGAGCACAGACTTTTAAAAGTGTGTTTTGTTTGTGGTTTTTTTTTTTTTCTTTTTGTATGAGAAAGACTTTTTTCTTTTGGCAACACCATTTTGGAAGATGTTTATTCATTAAGGCAATTGTATCACAGAACTGCAGGTCTCTTCTCTAAACTTGTCACAGTTCTTATTGAGCTTGCATTTAAGGATGTCCCTGCATCTAATTCTGAGTACATAGGATGGAATCTATTTTAAAGATTTGTGAAACGCTTTGGCAAAACATCTATTTACTGAAAAGTGACATTTCAAAGTACTGAACTGAAATCATGTTCAGCTTTTGGCAAGTAGTTTTGGAAAATTCAAACATACAAGTTTGTAAATGGTTAATGACTTGCTTCTAAAATAAAACATTTAAATGTTGTAGACTAATTTCACATAAGGATACAGATTCCATTGGCAAAAATAAGAAGATAATTGCTCCCCTATACCCAATTCATTTAACTCTCCATGGACTGCACTGATGTAGCAATTTAAACATGATCCTCCTTGATCTCAGGCAAGCATTTTAGCAACAGAAGTGTAAGGTGCTCCAGGACAAAAGTGTTTCACTGTGTGAGGTTTATAACTGGAGTAGCGTCTGGGACTTGGATTTTTCATTTACTAGAGAGGGCTATTTGGCCACTCTCATGACTAATAAGCATTTTATTGATCATTAAAAAGTGTGACATAGACAACTGAAAACATTGCCTCCAGTCATCTTCATAATCCCATATCCTTATCCACTATACTGATCTGGAGATGGAAGACCTCTAAGCATGTTTTCACAATATGGTCAAAGTACATTTTGAGAGTCTGAGAGTTATGGTGATGGCAAAGATTTGTTATTGTGTGCAAAATGAGTATGTGCCTATGTATGCCAGGGAAGCTCTGGCTGGCCTCACTTTATGTATCTGCAGAGATTAGTGTAAGATTTGTGGAGTGCTGTCGGCACAATTTTTCAACTCAGAATAGGCACTGTAGTTATGCCTGTGCTTTGGACACTGGGACAGAAGGACAAAACCGAAGACTTTTGTACTAGTTTGCTCACATATTTACTCAGTTAAAACCTTTTTTTTTTCCGAAGTTACGTTAAGACCAAATATGACATTGAACATCAAAACCCACTGCTGTTGGAGTCAATGGCCAAACATTCATTCACTTGACTAGGGCCAGTATTTTGTTGAAATGAAATGTCAGCTGTCCCTCACAGACAACAAGTAGCTCTTAAATGTGATAAAGCACTTCCCTTACCTTCTAGTAAAATAGGTTTCGGTTGAAGAAATTCCTCTCAGCTCCAACATAATTTTTCTTTGGACAATATTGGGCTTTACCATAAAATTCTTACAGTCATCTCAAATAAATGACTCAGGATTACCTTTTTAGAAAAGTGGACTGAAGACATAAAGACAACAGGAGAATACACTAATGCCATTTGAGTGAAATAAAACAAAATTTCTTGAATGCATTTGTGTCTGAGCTGGCTACTTAGAAAGTAGTGTTTCCAGTTATGTATAAAATGCTGAAGAAAAGAATGAAGAAAATATATTATCCCCTTTTGTTCACTTAATGCACATGAAACTTAATTCTGTGTTGTTATTTTAAAGTGACATTAACTAAACAGAAATTTTAAAAGAAGCTTCACACTACCTTAGTACCTATTGCTGTTTTAATTGATAGTTATTTTGATTTTAATTTTTACTTTTGGATATCTATATAAAACCAACAAGACCACTTGTAAAGTCTTCACTGCTTTTATATACAAAAGAATGATATAATTATGCATTTATTCCTATGGGGTTTATTATCATTCAGCTTTTTCTGGTATGAATGAATATCTTGAGAGAGATAACATCTTGGTCCTCTCAGGGTGAAGAGACCTATTTTCCAGTGAAAATAGCATCCTCACAACCAGCAACAGTAAGTTTCATTAGCTTTGAACTCTACTATGAGAAGCTTTCAGGATGATTATCCTCCTAGCAAAAAAAGTTAAGAGTAAATTAATTATTGTCCTTAGCTCAATACGAACCTTTAAAAGAAGTCTGAATTTTTCAATGCCAACACAGAAGTTTGAATTAAGACAGGTTTCAACGTGCAGCTACTTTTAGTTTTTTCACTTTTACTGATTCCAGTAGATTGTCAGTGAAATATTTACCTGACTAGTGTGGCTCTCCCTATGTCTTGGAATCGATGAGCCTGCCGTAGTGCTGACCGACAGTCTTGAATATACATTTTCCTCCTGTAAACCTAAAGCAGAACAACACTAATTTATAATCTGACATTTATGCATTAGTTGATTTCAGCATGAGATTCAAAAGACCTTGACACGTTTTACCAAAAAGGAATGAAAAAATCACACCTTTTCCTGGGTATTTACTATTTCCATGCTTATTGAAACTGGAACAATTATTGTTTACCAAGTATGAACAGCAGCATAGGTATGCATGCTGGTTTCCAGGAGGAGCAATAGTACTGAAGGAGCCTACAAATAACACATTACCTATACACTGGGAGGGATTCCTCCTGCAATGCGGAAATCCCTGGCTCCTCTTCCCCTGGCTCCTTTTCATCACAGAAGCAATGCAAAGGGAATGGAAAACAGGCCTGCAGTCTGCTCTCAAATAATGTCTCTAGGTTATATGGGAAGATGATAGTTGTTCCAGGACTTACAACGTCATCTCCTTAGTACAGAGGGTTTTGGTTTTTTTTTTATTTCTTGTGCTTATTGTGCACTCTCCATGTAGGAATTAGCTGCCCAAAATTTGGCTGTATAAAACCCAGTCATCCAGTGTAGAAGAGCCAGGCAATCTCCCTCTGTAGTCAAGACAAACAAACATTTCTGCACAGTGATCCTAGAGTTAGGCTCACTGCCGACACTTCCCCATCACTTCTGTTGGAGTGGAAAGACCATTCCCATAGCACTTCAGAGGATCTGAAAGACGGGATGAGGGGAAGCAAAGGCAGAAGCAGAAACACAGTGAGTCCACAATAGGCATTATTAAGTTGCTCACAGACCAGAATCACAGACACCATGGTAGGTCTGGAATCCAGCAATTTTGGTATTGCTTCGTCTAGCATATATTTCAAAATTTCATTATACTAAGGAATCCATAAACACTACTTCTTTAGTTGACTGAATAGAGCTATCCACCATGAGAAGAGGATTCATCCTGGTAAGAGATGTGCAAGTTGAATTGTTCTCAGTAAATCACCTGAGATTTACTAACTAGAAATGGATAAAATCTGAAGCATTTGATTAGACAAAATATCTACCTTTTGTGTGGCTAAAACTAGGTAAGGTGATTCTGGGCCTGGATGTGTAACTCTTAGGTAAGAAAAGATGAGGTGAGCCGCACTCTTTGCATATTGTACAAAACATACACAGGAACATAATGGAAACAATACAAAGTTCAAATACAATAATGAATCGTAAACTACTTATGAGATTAGGTGCTGCACTAGACATAGTTCTGTTTCATGGTCAGTTTCTTGTTCAGTCATGAAACTAGCATAGAAACACACTGTGAAACATGCTTGTCTTCCAACCTGCTATTTGCACTATACATTTTTCTCTTTCTTTCTTTCTTTCTTTCTTTCTTTCTTTCTTTCTTTCTTTCTTTCTTTCTTTCTTTCTTTCTTTCATTCTTTCTTTCTTTCTTTCTTTCTTTCTTTCTTTCTTTCTTTCTTTCTTTCTTTCTTTCTTTCTTTCTTTCTTTTCTTTCTTTCTTTCTTTCTTCTTTCTTTCTAATAAATGAGCATTAACTTTTACATGGTTACTGATATATGATTTAACTCATGAAAATATAAATTGCATGAATAATCCCATAAAATAGCCTGACTGCAAGAGAAACAGAACAAGAATTTTAAACAGAAGGAATGATCCTTATTCCTTTTTGGTCTCTCTACCCTGCTTTTTGTTTCTACATTATAATGGTGCATCTCTGCAGCTTTGTATCCAAGGACAGCTGGGGTTTCTTTATTTCTTCTGAATAAAGCTTGTGTAAATTATTCATAAATAGGGATATTTTTCTACAGCTTCAAATCACCTGGACTTCCTCTGGACCCACAGAGGCAGTTAAGAAGGTGGAGCCCCTGCTTGCAGCTCAGGAGCCAGGTCAAATCTTGTGCGGATCCAGCATTTCAGTCCTTTCTACCTGTTGCAGAGAGGGAGTCTGATCCTGTTGTCTCAGTGATTTGAACTATGTGTTATTTTGGGGTAGAGTTATGACTTTTTGAAGCTGGCCCATGATTAGGTATGTACTGGGACAAGGTCTGATGTTCGAGGTCTCCAGTATGCTAAGCCTGTAAAATATATGTAATTTACCACTATTCCTTTTTAACCTATATTAAATTCCCAGTCCTCCAACTTAAAATTCTCCCTCAGCAAAATCACACATCTTTGGTCAAATGAAATGCTTGAAATAAATTTCCCTCCAAAATTCCAGTCTTTGTCAACACAAAACAAATCCCCTTTTCCCAAATAATTTCCTGAACTAATAATTTAGTCATGGATTTAGTCTGGATACATCTCAAACAAAATTATCCATATTTTAATGCAAAATATGTTTTTAAAGTAGGTGTTATTAATTTAATTTAAGTAAAAGATATAACAGTAAAATACTTGCATGATTCTATACCACCATAAATGAATGAAAATACTTTCCTAGGCCAGCAGCATGTTTAGAAAAAGATATCGCTTTTGCACTATATTAATGCACTTTAGAATCTACCATCCCTGACAGCCTTGAGCTAAGAATAAGGTTACCAATGATTTTCTGTTTATTTCTATGAAAAACACTTTGATAAGAGCTCTTATCGAGTAAGTAAAGTTTCCATGTACAGCAACAGCATGTCATCACAGAAATGGCAAGCAGACGCTTGGTGGAGTTTGGAAAGATAAAGTTTGGAGTGGTTGATTACGTTCCGAGACTTTTCCTTTACATACACCTAAGTAAATATTAGGATACCACAGCTGTGCACTGAATAAGACCTTGCTTAATTCAGCACAAGGTTGGAAGTATCTGTTTAGCAGGGGCAGGAGCAAGAACTACAAGAACATAGCTTAATCAGGGGTTCAGGCTGAAGCACAAATTATACCATCTGGACTGGGCTTTCTTGCAACTATTCTCATTACCAAAAGTAAGTCTAATTTGGCAATTTTTTTGCGAAATCACGCTTGCTAACATTAGTACCGTAATTATATGTGGTGGTGAAAATTATAGTAAGGAATATGATTCAATCAATAATCTTTATCTGGAGAAGTTAAATGAAAGAAATGCACTCCATAAGACTAAGGCCTTGTCCCAAACAATATGTGTAATCAAACTAGAAACCCAATCCTTTATCCACTTACTTCTTGTAATGCCTTTTCTATATTGCTTGAAAGGGAGATCCCACACTCAGTCCCTGATCTTCTTCCTATACTTCCTGTTTCCCATTTCTGCCCTTTTCTCAGATACTCCTCTTAGGATCCTTCAGACAGACAGATTGCATCTCAAATATTGAAATCTAGATCACTGGACATCTGTAAGTCATTCTGTGGTTCCAGAGAACCTCTAGTCTCATAGGCTCTGCTACATCCAAACTGGAGACCCTGCACTTCCTGGCCTTGAATATCTCTATTTCCAAAACACCACCACCACCACCAAGCCTCTGGGTCGTTGCAACTGTGGCCACACATCGTTTCCCAAAGCTTCTACCTTCTTCCATGATTCTGCATTTACACATATGGTCTGGATCTACTGATCAGCTCCACTTGGTACATTGCCAGCTATAATGTGAAAAAGGCATCACCAGGAAAGGCAAGAGGTAAGGCTCTGTGCTCAGCAGCATGTAGCCTGTGTCATGGTGACGTGCCCTTTTTCAGGTTATCTTCTATGACACCTCTCCCATTCTGCGACTTGTTGCCTGATGTGCTTAGACCTAGTGTTAAGTTTCAAGAGACTATATATTAGACTTAGCCCACAGATGACTTGCTTAGACAGAATGGTTACCTTCTCAACAGCTAAAGTGAGACAAGACTAATCCCTTTACCTGAATAATGCATAGGGCTTTTGGTGAAACAGGCAGGTTCTTACAGTTACTCTTATGTCAATCTGTGTAAACTATATGGTGAGTCTGTTCACACGGATCTCCATACACAAGCAGTGGACCCCAGTTATAACTGAAGAGGAATAACCAGAGAGGCTTCCTTTGAAGGACAGCAGTGTGCCAGCAGAGCTGGATGAACAGCACTGTGCAAAAATGCGTGCTGGTATGAGTATTAGGCACGATGATGCCCAGTGCTCCTTCATCCAACAGGGCTGTCTCATCCATACAAAACCTACTGCAGTTTTCACTTGGGTTACACAGTGTAAATACCTCTACAACACACTCCACTGGGGGTAAAGAACTGTCAGATATCTGGGAAATTTATCCTTTTCACTGACAAAGGTTAGGTCATCTCAGTCACTTATTATAGTGGGCATATTTAAACATTTCATTTAATGATTAAACACTCCTCTAGATCCTATTAGGTAGTGAGTGGAAATGACAACAAATTTCAGTAAACTACTTGCAGTGTTTGAGTGTTTCCTACCAGAGGATCTGCTATTTTGGGTGATTTAGGATTACAACTTTCAGCATTGTAATGTAAAAGGTTATTATAGGCTTTCTGATTACTGTCTGTGTTTGTACAAGAAATAGCAAAAAGCTTTCTTTCACACTAAAAACTTTGATCAGTGTGGAAGATTTATAGCAGAAAAGGCACAGTATTGGTGGCACAGAGCTGTAGAAAGAGCTGTAGAAAGGTATTACTCCTAATATTAAAGGTAAATTAAAGAAGAGGAGGATTACATTATACGGAATGAAAAAACAACTTCTCTTAAAATTCTGAACAGCCGTGCCAGAAATTAAACTCATCTTTTGAAAGCAACAGCATTAATCTGTTTGGAAGCTGAGCCAGCCAGCTTTTTAGCTGCTTAGTAATGGTTTTCTAAAAAATTCATCAGGTTATAAGTAAGATTAACATCTTCGTCAAAATGATTATTCTTATGACCATAGTGCCTTTAAGTTTCATGACACTTCAGAGGAGTGGTGCCTACACTTCATCATGACAGTAAAAGACTAGTCTTATTTAAGAAATTGCTTCTGTATTAACTCATATGAGTGATGTATGGATCTAGACTTTAGTTCCATCAGTGGAAAGTAGATTATATAGTTGCACTGTGTAACAGTGGGAAGCACATTACACTATTCAAGAATTTTGTAATCTCAGTATCAAGTATTTAATAATGCATTTCAGGTTTTATTTTCCTCAAAGCTAGAGGAGCTTGGTATAGAGTAACAAATGAAAAAGTATTTTACATAGAAACATCTCATGGCACATTCTACAATATCAGTATTGCCTAGATATATCCAATAAGACATAGAATTCAAAATCATGAAGATCTTAAGGTTGAGTCCTGGAAAAATTTTTTTCCTAAGGAAATTGGAAGGCTGGTTATAAATCATGTCATCTAAGCACACCAAAGTTTTCCATATTGTCAACTCTTTCATTATTAATGGTGGCTGGAAAACTAGCATTCCATATCATAAAATTTATAATCTGATTTTTCTCTGCATCAGGGTAAAATAAAAGCTTGCATAATTTCTACAACAGTCTGATAGGTAAAACATAGACTTGAACCTTGAATTACCACAAATAATGCTAATTCCTTACCCAGTGGGATACTGCCAGACTCAAAGGGATTTTTTTTTTACTCATAGTATACAGTGAATATCAAAACCATTCCATATCAAAGCTGCATCAAAATTGGTAACCTTCCATGAAAAGTTTGGGTTTGACGAATCAGTGGTTTTTAATGGAAAAAATATCTCACGGAAAATTCCATTGCATGGCATTACACCTTTATGATTAAACTTTCCATTTACAAATAGTTTAAAAATAATTAGTTTAGACATAGTAGATACTGTATATTATCAATATGAACAGACTTGACTACTAGTGGTTACAAATACAATGATAAAAACTTCACACAATTCCAAGCACCCATATCACCTGTTAAATGGCCTTTTGTTCAAGCAGTGACTATATAGTTCAGTAACTGAGATTGTTTACTAACTTAATAATAATCATCACAAATTATAAACTTAAACCATCATTTCATTCCTAAACTGAAATGAACACAGCTATTGCAATGAAACTCCCAGTTAACAGGTCTAGGGATAAAATGGTTGCTCTTATAAAAACCTGATGTCCCACAGGTCCCATTAGGACATCAGAATATGTGGTTAAAATCCTACATCATAGAAGGGAATCAAAGACTTGGTCTACCCTCAGTTTTTGCATTAATTTAACAGTCTGACTGTCATACATACTGAAAATATGCTTCCCTCCTCCCCAAATTATTATATTGATACAAATGGGGACATAGTTGTAATGGACAAAGTTGGCTTTTTCTTCTGTCACAGTGTGTTCCTCCTGGTTCCACACAGGAATGGATGCACCTTTACACTCTTATAACTTCTCAGACTGGATGAGTTTTCTGCTCTGATTATCTGAGAGAGCAGGAAGAATTATTTTGGCCAAGAACTCCAGAACTTTTAGAATATGTTTTCTTCAAAAGAAAGAAATTATTTGATTTTGAAATGTTTCATTTTGATAATAAAGCACGAGTTTTCATTTCAAAACATTGCATATTAACATTGCACAATACTCCAGCCTTTTTATTAAAAGGAAGGGTAGCATATTTTTTAAACAAAATGCAATTTTCACTTGACTTCATGATTTGTCCCATATAGCTCTCAGACTACCATCTGCATTAGGAGTAGTTCTACCCTTAACCGTAAAGGCTATACAACTGTTCTGCTTACACAAACCATATTTAGCCTTAAGTTTTCTGCATGAAGATAATTGTACTCAGTGCCATGCAAGTATTTAGACATCTGCTTCTTCACATTCCATAAATATTTTCTATTTGTCTTGTGTCTATTCATACTTGTGTATTTGTATTGTGTGATTTTATGTAATACAGGTGTTATATCCTTAGGATTTATGCTTTCAGGACCTTGAAACCTTTAATTCTTTCCATCATTGTTCTTGCACCATTTTGACCACCTTGATGCAATGATAATTCCTCACTCATTAGTAAGGCACCTGTAGAAAAGGGAGATTCTGATTTTCCATTTTCTGTCCCATCTGTATTGATTATAGGATGAGAAATCTGAAATCTCAGTCCTCCATGCCTCAGGCTTCTTATAGACTTGGAGCTGAGCTAATTACAAATTCCTCAACAGAGGCTGTTTTATTTTCTTCACATTCAGCTTTTATTGGAGAGGGGCTTATCAGTTCACACATACAAAGTTAAGCCAGTTCCAGAGACACACATATTTCACAACTCAGAAGATTCCAGTTTGACTATAACTTAAAAAGCTCATTCAAGGAAACACTTCAGCAATTTTATGTCAGAAGAGCTTTGGGATTAAAAACTGCTTACCATTTGATACTGAATTTCCATTTTCAGCAGTCACAGAACTGGACAGTGGATTAGATGACTGAGTTCCATGGTTATTTGCATTTTTATCCTGGGTTTCAGATCCAATATCTGATGCACTTGGATCTTCCCTGCTCCTCAAGTTCAGATTAGTTTCAGCACCTGACACAAACAGAGAAAAAGCTCATCAGCTTCCTATTAACTAGTGGCTTTCACATATAAGTAGAAAAAACTAATACAGAGAAACTAAATTACTTTATCAAATTAATTTAATGAATCACTAAATTCACAAGTCCAGTGATAAATGTGGAAGTGATTTTTAAGTCAGCAATTTTTGCAGAGGTGTGGGGTGTTTTTTTGGGGGGGGTTGTTTGTTTGTTTGCTGTTTTCTGGTTTTCCACTTGTAGCCATTTAAAATTTATGGAAGTTAAAGGCATTAACAAAATGTCATTTGCAATGTTTCTTTTCACACAAATTTCAGATGATAAAACTCAACAAATGTTTACATTGCCTCTACTTCAGACTCTATTCTATTTCACATTAGTTCATATACCTCTGTCAGCACTGCAAGCTTTTTACCATTGCATTAGGTGATACTAGCAACAGCTATAACATGGGTTTGTTTTTTTTTTCTTATCTCCTCCCACAAGAAACAAAGTGGCTTTTGATATGAAACCATACGTAGCAAGATTCCTCCCAACAGAGCCTCCCTGTGGGCATTATTCACCCTGCCTCAGGGCTCTCCAGCCATCAATTGTCATTTCTGTAAAGTTCCAGGTTTTCATGTCATAGCCTTTTAGTTAAATTTCTTCAAGGCATCAATAGGGGGTCTGATCCTCTGGGAGTTCCCAAGCTATGTACAATGCAGAGGCATTTCTTCAAAGAGAAGGGCAAACCCCTTCCCTTCTTCCCCCTCTAACTGATGACACATCCATGCAAAGCAGAACAGCTCACCAGCAAAGTGCCCAGAGCTTGCTCTGAGCTTGCCTGGCTTTGTCAACCCAGTGCACCACAAGCAAGAGGGTTCAGACATCAGCTGTGCCCAAGCGGTGCTCCTCACTGGAGTTCAGGGGTTGAAGGCAGGTTTGGAGATGGGAGACATGCCTGTGAATGAATGGTGATAGTAGGAGGGACCCCCAGTGCAATTCTGGTATCCCTGGCTATCCCCATTCCACCCCTGTGTGGCAGGGCTGATGAGGCTGCATGAGATGCTGCACTAGCAAGGCTATGCATTTTTTTATGGATTTCCCTCTCTCTTCTGTATTCCTCTTAATTTTGTGGTGAACATATATACATTTTCCTTGCCATAATCAGATTTGTTTCATAGAAGGCAAAGCTGAATTCCGTTCTCTCTCTGTTTAGCTCTGTTTCAGTTTTCCTCTTTCCACCCTGTTTGAGAGCTGGCCTTAGCTGCGGGGCTGACATATTATGGCTGGCCTGGGTGCAGAGGCCCTCATTTAGCACTCTAAAATGGAAATTTTTCTTCCATGACAGCTCTCAAAGAGCTGTTCCTTGATTTTTGGATGTGTCTATTTAAGCTTTGCCATAATGACAGCAATAACTAACAGAGGTCAAAAGACTAGCTATTAAAACCAACATTACAGCATTCATCCATACTTCCAATGACATCCTCAGCTCTCCCAAAGATACAATATATTCTTGTAAGTCTTGAGTACACCAGCATTTTTCAAGGGGACAGGAAAAACATTTTTTCAGAAGGTAACAGATATTTTTCCTGCAGATTTTCAAATTTAATGTTGAATGCACGGTCAATTTTTCATTTTTATGCCTGGTCTAAAAAAACCCATCTGGTTTACAAAGCACAAACATTTTAAAAATGAATTCATGAAACTATACATCTATTCTGGTTAACTTGAAATGTTTCATTGAAAAGGGCTTTCTTATTTTTGCTTAGCTTTCAGTTATCTAACTCTGAATCTTTCTTAACATTTCCTCTTCTAACAAAAAAGCTGTCTTGAAAAGTCAAAAAGTTAATTTCCAAGCTGTCAGAATAAAACATTTCAATTTTGGGTTTGGTTTTTTTTTTTCCTCCCTCCCTTGCCCTCATTCCCTGATCATTCTTTTTTGCCAGATCTGATTGGAGTGTTTCAGTGGCACTGTTTCATAAACTGCGTATTTAGGCAAATGTGCTAAGCATTGAAAAAATTAGGCCAGCTCTACCCACAGTAACTGACTTGGGAGAGGCGGTAGAACCAGAGTCTGAGCTGGAAAATGCATACAGTACAATTATAAGAGCATGCCTGATTTAGCTTTTGTACAAGCAAGTTGACTGCAAAATGTATCTTTGCGGATCATATTAAATTTGTCTGAAAAGGAAATGTCACTTTTAGATGTTAATAGTCAGTGCACTTGCCTATAGATCATAATCCACCTACATAATTATTGTGCCACCTTTTACATAAAGAGTCTCAAGGGAAGTGGCTGGGATCCTTATTTTTCTTGATATCCGAAAGATGTATTGATTTGCCTGACATCTGCAATTCATTTGAGAATGTGCAAGTAGAAAGACTTTTTCTTGCATTCCCATTTGCAGAAGCCTTTTGTTTCATAGGTACACTGATATCTTTTCATGGCATTCATAAAGGGCTCTTGGAAAAAAAAAAAAAAAAGGTTGTCACTTCTCCTTTATACCTCTAAGATGAAATACTACAAAGAATTGTGGATAGCTACTACTGAGCTGAAATATCATCCTAAATTGACAGAAACAAGTAATGGACAGATATGTAGCGTATCTTTTGGGACAACTATCTAGATAGAGATCTGTTATCCCATTTGCTCTATTTAGTCACTGTAAGAAATGCACACCTTTAGTTTCTAAATAGAAGATTATATAGTAAAAATATACTTCATTGTTTCTTAGTTAATTAATCCTGGGGGTGGGAAAGAAGCCTATATTTTGTTTCAAAGTAATCTGGATTATATAAAGGTTCTTGCACTAATTTCCTATATATAGGCATCTTCAGCTCCTTGGAACAGATTCATGTGAGTCTACGGAAAAAGTATAGCCGCATATGTTGGCTAACTTCTAAAAGACTCCTGGAGAAGCCAGAACCCTAACAAACAAGTACTGTTCATTTATTTTGGACTTTGTGTAAAATGGGGGAGTTTTTGAAGAAAGTATTTTCTATAAATAGGATAACAAGAGAATGCTTTAGTCAGGTATAACCAGTGCACTGTCCCAGTGCTGCAAAACTTACCCAGGGTCACTGGGTAATTCATGTTGGAATGGATCTCAGGAGGTCCCTCATGCACCCCTGCTCCAAGCGGGCCAGCTGTGAGGTCAGACACAGGTTGCTCAGGGCTTTGCCCACCCGCTCTTGAACCCCCCAGAGACGGAGCCTGCCCAGCCTCCCTGGGCAGCCTGTCCCTCTGCCTGCCCCCTGGCCTGCCCGTCCTCGCCGGGAGAGGTTTCAGTACCCGGCCTCAGCCCCTCTCGTTTCAGCTGACACCTGCCGTACCTCGGTGCCCGGCCACACACGGCTGAGAAGGGCCCAGCGGTCCCCTCTCGTCCCCTCCCCGTAGGCACTGGGGTGGCTGTGACCTGCCCCTGAAGCCGCCTCTGCCCCAGGCTGGACAAGCCCCGATGCCCCAGCCCCGGATCATGGGGACACCCTCCAGCCCTGAGTGTCACGGCGGTGAACTCGCTGCAGGTTACTGGTGTCCTTCTGCACTGGGAGGCACCAAACTGGCCATGGTACCCAGATGTGATCCAATGAGTGCTGGGCAGAGGGGACAACCCCTGTGCTGATCTCCTGCTGATTCAGCCCCAAATGCTGCTCGCTATCTCTGCTGCCAGAACCTGCCCAGCTCCCAGGGTCCCCAGCACCCTTTCCCCAGAGCTGCTCCCAGGACAGTCTGTCCCCAGCCTATATCATTGTAAGAGGTAATTCCTTCCCAGATATAGCAATATGCATCTGCTTTTTCAATAGCTTTATCATGCCAGAAGGTCCTGACTTTATCTTCTGTGCTGGGGTATCCCTCTCTGTCCTGCCTTCCCTCTGCCCAAAATATCCCTGAGCATAACAAAGGTGTCTCCTGACCTTTCATCATATTTTATTTCACACAGTTTATCATTACACAGTGGTATCTTAGATACGAATACTGTAGACAATTCTAAGAGATACAGGCAAGCCCTCTGTTAACACTAAGGACTTAGAAAATTCCTTCTGATTCCTATTTTATCTATCAAATATTGGTCTGAAATTAACTTCACCCTCATGTTTTCTCAGTCACCTAATACAGAAATTTGGACTTTCTCCACATTAATGTCAACTTCTCCCTGCTTCCATGAATCTCTGCAGATACAAGTATGCACTGCTCTCTCACCCCTTAGCTTTCTGAAACTATCAGAAATACTTTAGGAGAGAGGAAAATTAAAAAAAAAAAAACTATGGTTCCTACAGTTGAACATCTTCACCAACACACTGAATGTTAGCTTGTTGTTCAGACTTGTGCTCTGCTGTTCGCACCAGATGGAAGGATTATTTACCAGGTTTCAACTTTTTTTTTTTTTTCCCTTTTTTTTTAGTAACAGCATCTTAACAGTTTCCAGTTAGTAATAAACGTTATTTGAAGAGTCATCCATGCCTACTTGTGAGAGACTAGCTACAGAGAGGTATCAGCTGTAAGAGCATGGTGGGAGTTCATGATTATTGAAGGAATACAAGTTTTAAGTGAAAACCTACAGGTTCTTTGCAACAGTGAACAGCATTTGGATTATTATTTCGGTAGACTGACTTTGCCAGAAAGATACCTCTGACTCAGGCAAATTCTGCTCTGACTAATCTTGCAGTTAATGAGGATGTGTGGATATTTGGATTGGGGGCAAAATTTTCCCCTCAACTGCAGCATAGTTATTAACTGGAAGCAATCACATGTACAGTGCATTTAATCAGAGTATAGTAAATCGAAGTGTAACAGTTATTTCCTTAGAAGCAAGCTCTGTATTTCCAATAAGCCCATAACTAATTATATCAACATTACTTGAAAAGTGTAAGAGGAAAGGTATGCAAAAGAGGCAACTCACAAAATCTACATTTGCTTGTTATTCTCAGTGTTTCTGGAAAAGACTGAGTTTAAAACTCACAACAAAGCTCTAAGCCATAGGATGGACTAAAATTTCACTTATTCTGGAAAGAAAA